AAGTGTAAATAATTCTATGGTGTGAGCCTATCTTTATAGCCCTTATAGGATAAAGGGAGCTCCTATGCTGCCAAAACATAACGGGGGTGTTCGGGAAGCTAGTTTTTGAGTGAAAAACTCAAAAAAAGATAACTTAAGTTACAACTTTATTTAAGTTTATGTTCTTTTAAGTTTGAACTCGAATTTAGAACTAAAACTCGAGTTCAAGTTTTCCCTTCAACTCGAGTTCAGAAATTTGAACTCAAGTTAATGAACAATATTTTTTCTATTATTAAAAATGCTATAACTTTTTCGTTTTAATTCTGATTGAGATGATTTTTTTCTATGCGTTGACAACGAAAAGACGAATAAAACTATACCCATATACCATATTAAAATTTTTCATCAACATTGAGTTTTTATTAAAATACTGTCTAAAAACAAATTCAAGTTTTGACTTACTCAAACACAAACTCAAAAAAGATTCTTATTTCAAACCATAACTCAAATGTAGACAACCAAACACAAACTCAAATTACAACTTCAACTCAAATTATAATTTAAACTCAACTCAAAATCTACACTCAAATTACTTAACTCAAAAACATTAAGGCCCCGTTCACTTCGCCAATTCGAGTTTAGAATTCGAGTTTTGTTACAGTAAAAAGTTCTCAGAAACAGTCACATCTAACTTTTTTGTTACAATAAAAAGCTCTCACATAATATCACATTTTAACTCGAATTAAAAACTCGAATCAACGAACTAAACGGACCCTAAAAGAACAAACCCTATTTCTCATGAATACAGTCCACAGGAGTAAAGTTACTAACATGTTAGCATGGAACAAGGAAACTATCTTAAAGAGTCCCACATCGATAAAACAAGAGGCTCGCGAACCATGCTCTTGCAATAAAAAAGAAGCTGCGTGCTTTGTCCGTCTAACGGAGCCGTGCGGTGCGTACAGAGCGAACTATTCTTTCGCCTTTTACTAAAGAATACCGTGTACGCGCCGCTTTTTGCGGCATACGCCTATTTTTGGAGAGGCTCTCTAATGATCGCCTCCATTAAGTTAAGTTTAATATTTACATTTGTTGGCAATTATTTGATACCAAACTGTCTAACCTGGCAGTGCTGTTAACAATTTAGTTAAATGTTTCATATTTAATTTGACATTATTAGAGTGCCACAATCAAGTTAGTGATGATTTCAATACCCAAATAATTTCTGACTTGAGTTTTTAATTATTGTTGTTTATTGTAGTTATTTATTCACTTTGAATCGTCCCAAATAATTTCTGACTTGATTTTTTAATTATTGTTGTTTATTGTAGTTATTTATTCACTTTGAACTGTTGTGTGCTTTTATCCGTTTTAACACCGTAAATACTACAAGTAATTTGAATAAAAAATAAAATTAAACAAAGATACACTAAAATAAAATAAAATTAAACAATGATACACTAAAATAAAATAAAATTACACAAAATTAAATTTAAGACAAATTAAACAAAACAAAAAGAAGCTAATTTAAAACACAACAAACTAAGTTAAAATTTATACCATTTTTTCTTCTTTTCTTTTTTTTTAAAAAAAAAAAATTTGTATAACTGTTATTTTAAATGAATCACGTGCACCAAGAAACCTAACCTTGTATGTGAAAACCGAGCGAATAATGAACATACAGTAAAAATTTGTGTTATACGGAATTACAGCAAAAAATACGTGTCAAAACAATATCTAAACACTATGACATTGTAAAAACTGCCTACAAACTAAAAGAAACAACTATATCAAAAATTAATCCAGAAGATAAGAGAAGAAAATCATTGAAAGCGTAAAAAAAAAAACATTGACCAATAACATCACAGACAAAAACCACAATAAAAAACTAAAGAAAATAATTTTCTTTTTTTAAAAAGAAAAGAACAGATAAAAAGAGAGAAATAGAAAATGTTCTCTGAACAAAAAGGATAAAAAAAACCCAACAAAAAGTAAAAAGTAAAAAATTTGTAAAGAAAAAGAGCAAAAAAATCCAAAAAAAATGAAGGAAAAAAAAACTAAGAAAAAAATAAATTACAAAAGTCCTTTGCAAAACAATGAATCAGAAGAGACGGACAAAGGAAAAAATCAGAAAAGCAAACCCAAAATTAGAAGACCGGATGTGATTAAAGAACCAAAACCCTAAATTACAATAACCGATTACAAAAATCTTCTACAGAACGACCAAAGAGATGAGACAGACAAAGAAAAAAAATAAGAAAAGGAGACCCAAAATCAAAAGACAAAAATGAAACCAAAAATAAAAAACTTCCGAAGCATCTAAATTTCAACAGGGAAAAAGATTAAATAACCGAAACACAAAGCAATTCCTAAAATCCTGTTAAAAAAGGGAAAAAATTCAGCAGAATAAACCCAATTTTAGAATATGAACCTAAAAAAATCAAACGAAACTACAAAAAAATCAGAGATATGAAAATAAATCAAATAAAAAATAAATCAGAGATAAAAAAATCAAATATAAAGAAATCAGAAAAATCATAGATATAAAAAAAATCACAGAAAAATAATATGAAAGGAAACCGAAGCAGAAGAATGCATGAACAAAAGAAAAATGAAGCAACAAAGCAAAAGAACTACAGAAAGATAAAAGAAAAGGAAAAGAGAAATGCAGAAAAGAAGTGAAGCCCAGAAGCTTCACGAAAAGGAAGAGACAAAGAAGAAAAGGGACAAAAAAATGCCCAGAAGAAATGAAGCTAGAAGCTTCACAAAAAGGAATAACAAAAGTCATACAGTGTTAATTTGAGTCAAAATTATGAAAATACCCAAACAAAAACGAAGCAAAAATAAGCAACCAAAGATAAAACGGTAAAGACACAAATTTAGGACACAACCGGAATTTTTTCAAAGAAGAGGGAGAAGAAGAACTGGACACTATTTTAAGAATAAGTAACCCGGGTACCTCATTTAGTAGTATGTATAATAATATAGAATAGTATAATAATAGTTCAAACTCACTGTGGCTAGTGCTGGAACTTTGGACGGGCCGCCCGCGACCGCCTGAAAAATTGAGTTTTTGCCCGAGCCCAACCCGCCCGAAAAATCGGGCCGCCCGCCCGAGCCCGAATTTCACCTTGAACGGGCCGCGGGCTTGTATTAGGTTGCCCAAGCCCGCCCGAGTAGCCTAAACTTTTTTTTAATATTAAGTTATTTTGTGTTAAAATTTATATATATATATTACAATTTGAAATGAACACACGAACTATATAAAAAAATTATTTCTTTATTAATTTTTAAATTTATAATTCATGGTTGCCTCGTTAAAAACCTTACCAAGAGAAATCCAATTGGGATAAAAACTTGGCAAGGAAAAAAGAGTGCAATCATTTTGTGACGAATTACAAAATTTATAAACTTACAAAGTTATACAATTACAAATACAATGTCAAAGTTAAATACATATTTACAAATTACAAATTTACAATTTAATTTGAAGCTGAAGGATCGTCATCAAAATTAAATGTTAATCGATTAAATTCATCGATCCATTCTTGGCTTGTCGGTGAAATTGTATCTTGTAGACGTTGATCGGCCCGATCCCAATCCTTAATGCAAACCAAGGCTTCAACAATATCCCTTTGCAATGCATTCCGGCGTTCCTCAAGTATTCTTCCTGTCGTACTGAAGGCTTGTTCGAATGAAATAGTGGAGACTGAGATCGAAAATATATCCACTTTCTAAACCTTCTAATTTTAATCTAGAATAAAAAATAGTACCTAAACCATACAACAAAGGCAACTTAGACCAAATTTTTTAAATTTCTTTTCCTTAAAATGAATAGGAACTCCTAAGATTGGGTCCTCCCTATATTCACTAAATAAAATACTAATTCTTAAAAGTTCACCTAAAACTAAAGGTGATGTTGGATAGTATGTTCCACTAAGTAGTCGTTGGACGGGTTTTCAAATAATTAATTTATCGTCCAATGGCTGGTCTTTTAAAATAAAGATCATCAAATAGCGATGAAGTTATAAAATCAATCATTGAGTGACTTTTGATAAATTATTAATTTACTTTGGTATGCAAGTAGAAAGTTACTTTGATATAGAGTCACAAAGAAAGTGAAGAAAGTGGAAGAAAAAAGAGGATAATTAAGAGGATGAGGAGAGATTGTGAACAGAAAAATAGATAAAGATAGAAAGAAGAGTGATATAGAGTAGAAAAATATGAGTATCTATAAGAACAAAACCGGCATTATATAGAAACAACACTTTTTAAAAATAAAAAATAATAAAAGCGTGATGACAATGTGTTTCTTTCCTTGTGTATATTATTTTTTGAGGAATCCTTTTATCATGTGATTGATTATAAAAAAGGGTCAAGAATGTGAAAACTGAAATATTAAACTGCTAAAATAGGAATTTGCTTTTTCTATTAAAGAATTGTGTGTTTACCTTAATTAATAAGTTAAAAATTTAAATAACAAATATGGGCATTTGGTCTAGTGGTATAATTCTCGCTTTGGGTGTAAGAGGTCTCGAGTTCGATTCTCAGAATGCCCCAATTTGTAGCAACTAATATTTTCATTGGCGGATTTCGGGCAAAATTCGGCCTTATTTTTGGGTCGGGCACAATGGTCGGATTTTTGAACTGTTTTTCGGGCTTCGGGCATGGCTAGAAAAATTTAAAAAAAACTCCGGCGGACGGCGATCGACGGCACCTACACGGCGACGGACTCCAACGTGGTTTCAAAATTTGAACTACCCGAACCTGAGTCCGAATTTCCACCTTGGACGGGCCGGCATATGGGCCTGCCTGTCCGTGTCCGAAAAAATTCGGGCTTTGGGCAGCCCGCCGGCCCAAAGTTCCACCACTCTGTGGCGCCCAATTGAGTCGTCTCTACACTCAAAGTCAAACACTTCCCTGAAGGCTTTGAGATGAGAAGAAAAAAGACACTTGGTACTTTTCTTATCGAAAATGACGATCAAATTGAATAATAATAATAAAAAAAGTAAAAACAGAGAGACAAGAGCTAGTTATAAAAGGGGTTAAGCGCCAACTAAAGACTATCAATTTCTTCGTACCGTTCCCAGTTGCTGTTGCTTCGTTATGGTAAATTTTCGCAACTTAAACTTTTTTTTTTTTGGAATAATTCTTCGTTCAGTTTATTTCATTTTTTGTAATTTGGTTTTCACTGTTGAATTATAGGCGAATCTGAAGCTTTATTCCAATTGGATGAGTTCTTGTTCTTTCCGTGTGAGAATCGCTCTCAATTTGAAAGGTACTCATTTCAGTAATTACGTTCTATTTCGGTTTCTAGAACTTTATTTTTTGAAGTTTTTTTGCACTTTTTTTTTTTTATAATCATCCTTTGAAATTTGAAAGAAGAAAAAGTGAAAATTGATGTGAAATTGTAGGGTTGAAGTACGAGTATGTACCGGTGAACCTGCTCAAGGGAGAGCAACGCAGTCCAGGTTTTTGTCTCGTTTCGTCAACATTCAGTGAATTTTAGTGGGAGAATTCTGTTGTTAGGCCATGAAAACTGGTGGGACAGTTTTGAATGTCATCTCAAGATAATAATAATAATAATAATAATAATAATAATAATAATAATTGAAGAAAGATTTGACGGTTGAAGATTATGTTCTTATTGGTATATTATTTTTCTTATCTTAATGTAGAATTCTCTCTTTTAGCATAATAGCTTTTTCCAGTGGATTTCTTTTTGGATTAGTCCTCTTCCACCGTTTTATCCCCTGACTTTTAGAGTGTCTTAGAATGAGTTCCCAATCTATCAAGTTTTCTCAAAGTAGCCTAATTAATTGTCATGATGATTTATTAAGGATAGTTTGGGGATTTTACACTTAGTGAAATTCGGTTGTCTTAGTTTTCATTATAAAAAGGGGGATGCAGTTTTTTGGGGATTATTAGAGAGGTAGAGAAAAACACGGAGAGTTGAGAGGTGTGTTATTTTTCTCTTGTAATTTCTTTTTGATCATAGTGTAAAAATTGCAGTGGCTGAAAGAGGAAGCAGCGAACTCCTATAAGTGTGTTATTTTTCTTTTTGTTTTTGTTTTTGTTTTTTTTTGCATTTTTATTACTCTCAGTAATTAGAATTAGGGCATCTAATTCGTAATAATTCTGTTGTTGTTCAGTTGTTCCCTAACATGTAAATTTGCAAAATTAACCCCCACTAAACACTCTCACGTGTCTTTCTCTGTTGAAATTTATCAGTTTAATACTAAAATAGAATTTGGCCCATAGTTTGACCTAAAATAGAATTTGGTAAGTGCTAACGTGGATGACTAAAATAGAATTTGGCCTATAGCTCGGGACTAAAAATGAGATTAACCCTTTTTTTTTTTAAAGAAGGTTATTTTTGGGATGTGCTTGATCTTGTGCAGAGTTTTTGAAGCTGAATCCAATTGGATACGTGCCAGTACTAGTGGATGGGGACATGGTGTTGTCTGACTCTCTTGCCATCTTATTGGTTAGTGTTTTGTTTTTTTGCTCCAAAACAAAAGTATTACTATTACTAGTTACAATTAAGATCTTAATTTTACTCTCGGTTAATTGAAAATGCTCAGTACTTGGATGAGAAGTACCCTCAGCATCCCCTGTTGCCAAGTGATCTGAGAAGAAAAGCCATTAATTTGCAGGTATATCAATGCTTTTTTATTTTTTTATATCGAAGCTCACTTGAGAGAAAAACATCAAGGAATAAAGCGATTTTTTTTTTAAGACCACATGCTGGGAGCTAGGATTGAAATATGACACAAGGATGGTGGCTAAATGAAGTTTTCCCTTGAAATGAAAAAACATATGCATATAAATAAGGTAAAAAGAGAAAAAGAAGTTAGCAGTTTGACTTTATGAAGATCAATAAAAGGCAGCAATTGTTGAATACAAGCATTTAAATGGCTCAGTGGGGAGTAGTTCCTTCTTGGACATCTAAAAGAACATAGTAAAGTGCCCCTTTCCCCTCTGAAGTCCTATTAAATGCTGATAACTTTTAGTTAATTACTTATTTTGTTTTCCTTCTACACTTTGCTCTGCTTCTTTGTGATTTTGAGGTAGACTTCGAATTTTAAATGATTTTTTTTTTTTAGGTGACAAACACTATTTCCTCGGGTATACAGCCTCTTTGGAATCTCGGTGTAATGGTAATTGTCAAGATGAGTCCAGGTTTTCATAACATTGCCTGCCATAAATGTTGCAAATCTGATGTTACTGCTTTTCCATTTACAGGACTGCATCAAACAAAAAGTTGGGCAAGAAGAGATTGTTCCATGGGTTCAATGTCACGTTCGAAAAGGCTTTGCCGGTTAGTTTCTAGTGTTGACAAAGCAAAAGGCTTATATTTTAAGATATGAATCATGTAGTATGTAACGTCAAATGAACTATAGGGATTTAAATTTAGCTTTCTGTTGCTACAAGTTGGTGTGAATTTCAAGGTCTAATATGATGGTTGTTTTCTTGTGTTTTAGCACTTGAAGAGCTGTTGAAAGACCATGCTGGGAGATATGCAACTGGAGACGAAGTTTTTCTGGTATGAAAATTTACATTCAGTTTGTCATTATTTTTTCCCGTTTATGTTGTGCTTAACATTTTTAAAGTTATTTGACATATTGATTACTTTTTGCAGGTAGATTTATTCTTAGCACCCCAGCTCCATTCTACTATTAAAATGTTCAACCTAGACATGGTACTGCTTCTTTTCTAATGCTATTACAAAGTTTCTTGTTTCAAAATAATAATAATAATAATAATAATAAATGAAAAGAGAAAAGATTATAGAACACCAAAAAATTGTGACTATTTTCTTATCAGTACCCTTGATTATGTTCATGTTTTATTTGTAGCATTAATCCATCTTTAGCAAATAATAAAGAAAAACTCAAATTCCTAGAGACATTTGATCTTTACCTTACAGATGTCAGCATGAACTGCTTCTTGGATCTGATTTTGCTCTCTATGTCAAAATATTTTGAAATCAGAATAATTTAAATTTTTCCTTGTATGAGGAGTTCATGATGCCTGCCCTTATTACAAACTTTCTATTTGTAGTGATCAGTTGTTTCCTTGAATGCTTGATTAGCTTAAAGTAAGTACTTGGCCATAAAATTTATTTTGTTCTGATAGTTTCACAGAGGTGATCCCAAGTCCTGATAGCCACCGTAGAACATTGTTATATCATGTGATTCCATTGTAAAAAACGAGAGAACTCAACTAGGAGAATTGTAAAAAAACTCTAAATTTAATTTACCAACTATTCTCCAAATCACGTGTCAGAGGATTTAGATGATGTTTTATTAAAATAGTTACAAATTAGATGGTTTCATTCAATTATATTTTAACATTGCAAATCAGCTTAGGGTAAAAAACAAACTTACTATCCAACTCCAATTGGATTCGGGGTTGGATTGAATTGGATTTTGTGCATAAGTTGAATTGGATTGGATCTAATATTTAGGACCCGTTTGGAATGTATACTCAAATCATGATTTGGGTTCATTGACAGGAAGTTTGTGAGAGAGTAAATTTTAGAATTCAAACTCTTTGTGAGATAAAAACGCTGTAGCAGAATCATGATTTGCGTTTGAGTATAGCGTCCAAACAACTCCTTCGGAATTCTATTTAGTGTAGGATAGTATTGATTGTGGCAAAAAAACGTTGTATTGGATTGGATGCCCACCCAGTGGCATTTGGGAATCTATATTAATTTAAAACATATTTATGTCATATTGATTTATATAAATTAAAGACATTGGATTGTCCTATTATTGTTCAAGATTTATATGTTGTTTTATAAAGTTAATTACAAATTGGTTTCATTCAATTATATGTTAAGATTGCAAATTAGCTTAGGGGGAAAAAACAAGAAACTTGCGCCCAATTCAATTGGGAACTCCAATTGGATTGGACTGAATTTTGAACATAAGTTGCATTGGATCGGATCTAATAATTAAAAATGCAATATAGTGTTGGATAGGATGGGTTGTGGCGAAAAGAATGGATTGGATTGGATGCCCACCCATTTACATTTGCGGGGTTATATTTGAATCCTAATTGATATTGTAATTTGAAACAAGTCTTTCTTTCCTTCCTTCCCTTTTGTAGATAAAAACTTGTTCTCCTCATTATCTACTCGTGACTAGTTTTTCTTCTCCCAATCTTTATGCAGACAGAGTTCCGTCTTCTGTCTAGGCTGAATGAGGCTTACAGCCAGCTACCAGCATTTCAAGATGCTTTGCCAGAAAAGCAACCAGATGCTCCTTCCTCAAGCACTGCTTAGACAAATGGTTTTGGTAAAAAGATATACTGTCAATGAAAAAACAAACTGGAGAATAAATTAGATAAGTAGTATATATGCAAACTAATAGAAATAACGGCTTGTATAGTGTCAAACTTAACTTTCACACATCTTGTGTTTGTTCATTATATGGCCTATTACATTTTCATCCTACTATCTATTACTTAAAATAGAATAAAGTTGTTTTGGCCTGTTTGGTATTGCTTTTGGAAGCCCCAAAAATCCTTTGCGCTGAATTCATTGCATGTAATGTGTATGGTACATGTGTTCACAAAATACTTAGAAAAAGTTTGGATTTTTAATTTTTGTTTCCTACTTCTACTTTCTCCGCTTTCTGCAGCCCCTTCAATGGAATGGCCATCATTCGTGTTCTCCTTCGTTTGTATAACAATTCTGTTTTCATGTGTTGGTTGAATGCTCAACATTTTACGAACTATGTCTAGACTTGTTTAGACAACATGGGAGATTTATTTATCAACATAACAATTGCTATATTGATTGATTGATGATAGGAAAACTCATATTCTCATGCACAATACTTCTCTCAAACCTTGCACAAAAGGAAAGACTGAAAGGGGGCTCCTAGCATCTAAAGAGTTAGGTTGTAGAAATGGTCAAACAGAGTGTCGACAACTTCCATAACGAGTTCATCATGTAGTTCCGCCAAAGCTAACGACTGTTACAGGGTGAGTTATCGCAGTCACTGATATGACATCTTTAGAATCTCATTGTTTACTTGTGAGTTGTCGCTGATTTATGGAACTTTTTGCTTTGAAGTCTTTACGTGAATGTGTACTTAATTTTAACTTGTGTGCCTCTCGATCTTTACATAAATAAATTAAGGACTGTGACTTGAAGCTTTTAAGTATTAAGCGAGTTCCTATTCTGCCAAAAGACTATTTCTGTAATAATTATCAGCAACTAATATGTGAGCATGGAAAAATAAGAAAGGCACAATCTTGACCTTTTTGCATTCGTTGTAAAAATTCTAATCTAAAAGATAAAGAGAGTATGAGGGACGTGAAAAATATTAGAAGAGTGAAGTGTGACGCACAAACTTTGTTTGAGTCCCACCTCAGTAAAGCAAGAGGTCGGTGAAACATTCCTTCCAACAAAAATGAAGCTGCTTCTCAATAGGGACTTAACCTGCTGTCAGTGTTTAAGGCTCCTAATTTTTGGAGGCCTCAAATTTCTTGTTTTTTAAGCCTATATTTTAGCTTGGTAAGTCACTCACGGACTCATTATTATAATTTATCAATGGTTTATCATTAATAAATATTCAATTTGTTGATTGAAATTGATAATTATTTATTGATTTTGGTTAATTATTAATTGATATTGATTAATAATGAAAAATCATTGAGTTAATAAGTAATAAACTAAAATTAGTCTGTGAGACCGCTAAATAGACTAGTCAATCAATGATTGACTAACTAAGTTAATAAAAAACGGCCATTTACCTTTATATCCCAAAGATAATTTAAGATAGTTTTATTTTGAATAAATTATTTGGGAATCTAGCGTTTTGAATTTTAGATTAGCTATATTATCTCTTTGTTACCGTTGTCTATTGTGTTGATGATTTGGCTTTCATACATACCTAAATTTAGTCTTATATGAATACTACAGTTGAAGCTGTTTGGTTGATATGGAAATGTTTGATAGAAGCTTCGAGATCAAATTCGGGGTTTCTAAGGAAATCAGTTTGGTGTCAAACACATGAATATGAGACCGAGAATTGTCCCTCCTTTGAAGGAGAACATTGCAGGGAATCTCGTTGGCTATGCGGCAAAGATAAGGAAAATGAAGACAGAAATATTGACATAAAGGATTGGTAGATAAGTTGAGAAAAGAGATGAAACAGGTTCTGGAAAATTAATTAATTATGGTAATAGACTTTGGAGAGGTTCAAAGAACACTTGATGAGCATGGGAAGCTGATAAAAAATGATGAGATTGACAACTATTACTGCACCAGTTGGTGTAGGTTTCCATTATACAAATAGAATTTCGGGTGGGGAAAGCCCATTTGGGTTAGTATCACTACAAGAATAATGTGTCAAATTTTAGGGACGTTATGTTGTTGCAAATATTAAAATTTTGTACAACGTCATGTCGTCACAAATGGTGAATGCGACGGCAAGTTATTTAAAAATTTTATTTTCATGTCGTCACTAATATTGTAATTTTAACAACGATAAGTATCGTCGCTAATAACCCTTTTTGTTGTATATTGCAAGTTTAGGATTCAAAACGTGTGTTTTGTTGATAGATACAAGAAACGGAGATGGGATTGAAGCATGGTTGATGCTTAGAGAGAAGAAGACATGGTTTTGGTTGAAAGCAACAAAGATCTTCTTGCTTTTGCTTCTTTGAACCCTAGAGTCATTTAGTTGTTAATTCGAAGTAAAACTTTGTCTAAAAATTCCTTCTTGGTCATTGTCATAGGAGTTTCTAAATGTTAAATTAGATTAGTTAAATTATTATTCTTTTGTTTTTTTTATCTTTAAGGGTAGAATAGTCTTTTTACTTATTTACTCGCAAATTTGTATAAACTATATTGTCTAATATATTTTAATTGAGCAATTCAATTAAAAAAAACCCAAGCTTTCTTTTTTCTACCCAATTTGATTCTTAATATTAACACTAAAGTTCCAACTAAAATCTGAGGACTGGAACCTCTCTCTTGCCATTTTCAAATATAAGAACATTCTACTTTATTTAGGTTTTGTTCATTTCATGACTCAAGTCATAATTTAAATTATATTATTACAGTGTTTTCTCTCATAAAAATTCAAATTCAACTTTTTTACTATAGTATTTTTATCTCACATACACATGACTTGAATTATACATACTCTTAGTTTATTTTTTTTCTCCAGTAATTTAGTTGTTTAGGTTTTTCCTTTGTTGCTACGTTAGATTAGTTTGTATCAATTGTAAAAAGAAAATTTACCTGAAACAAATTCTTTTTATCAATTGTAAAAAGAAAATTTACCTGGAAACAAAATCTTTTTTTAGAAGTAAATGAACCATTTATGTTTTGCTTCTTTTTTTATTTTAATAATATCGCGTTTTGGTAATTTTTTTTGAAATATTTTTGTTGAAGAATGAGCATATACATGCTCAAAAAGTTCAAATAACTAGATAGTTTATCAAAAGTAAACGATCAGATTACTCCCTTACGTTCATCACCAGAGATGACCAATATTGATACCTAAATTTGTACTGGGTCCATTAAGAGTTCAGGCCCAATCCTTTGCATCCCGTAAAATAATTAGGCCTATTTTGTGGACTTAAGTCACGCTCGAGGAACTCTCGTGAGTTTTAGTTTGGTGAGCGGTGAATGATCAAGCATGCCCATTTATCCTTAATTTGATAACAAATCTTACGAAAAAATTACTTAGGCTATATGGATTTAGATTTGTTCATTTTTTTTTTTTTTGTTATGAACACATAGGAAGAAGGATAATCTCAATTGGAGTTGAAACAAAAAAATTATAGCATTTTAAAACATGAGTCTCTCATAGATGGAAGAGAGAGAGAGGCAAAAAAACACAAAAAAAAAAAAAAAAAATACAAGAAGAAGAAGAGAGAATAAAAAAAATGTAACCATCTGACACCAATTGAGTATAATCGGATATCCAACTGACATAGGTTCCTATATGTTCTTCTACCCCTTAGTGAGTTTCAACCATTGAAAACTATCTCAACCGTTTATAACGCATGGTTGTTTCAATTAGACAAAATAGGGTCAGAAGACTGAAGACTTACCCTTATTATTATTATTATTTTTTTTTTTTGAATAACCCTTCCTTTACCTTATTAGTTTGGCCTTGTTGTTTTCCATCTCTCAGCCTTTGCTACCAGTAGGGTCGTAAGAAATCACCCCGAACCCAACGAACTTGGCCAAGCCGAGCCGACCCTATTAAAAAATCACAGGTTTTTAATTTTGCATTTAATTTTTAGTTTTAATTATGCCCAACCCGCACTATGCGGGTAAGGGTGCGGGGTGGGGTTCCATGAACCCGAGATACCCCTATCCGGCCCAACATGTTCAAAAAGTAGGTAAAACAATGCCCAACCCTAATGATAATAAGTTTAAAAATCTTCTGAACACAACATAAAGGGTTGAGTCTTTAGATAATTCTTGTTTATTTTTAATTCTTGTTCATGATAGTGTAAAAATTGAGTTTTAGATAAGGTAAGTAACAAAAATAAGTTAAAAAAGGGTTTTTTTTAACAAAAAAACTCATAGTTTACCCTAGGTAACCCGGCCGACCCGAGGTACCCGAATGGCATACGGGTATCCTAATTCTAAAAGTTGTTGCGGCCCAAATCATCCTCAGCCCGAGACCTGCGGGCCGGCCCAATTTTTTTTTCAAAACCGACCCACCCCGGCCGACTTACAGGCCTAGCTACCAGACTTCCCCCTCTACAAAATGCTCCAAACCAAGTACAAAGTAGAATTTTCTGTTCCTCAACACAATTATAAATAAATCATTAAATATAAAAACATTAACCATACTATGATAAAGGTACATTTATTCAAAATCTGAGAAGCACTAGGAAAATAAAATATGTTAGTTTCACAACTTAAGTTATTATATTAGAAAAAGACATTAAAGTAAAAACATTAAATTTAAATTTTTATAAAAGAAAACACTATAGCAATATGTGACTTCAATTGTGAAGACCCCAAAATTTTCAAACATCTTAGTTGGGTTAACTACTTTGTTCATTCCCGTCAGTGTTGTACTATTTTCAACTTTTGCATTTCAATTTGGTCTCTTCCCAATTCCCGAATATTGCCTTTGGCTCTCTCAATCCTGATCACAAATGTCGTTGTTTTGTAGAGATTTTCCTTTCATTGTAAATAGATCATCATAAAAACAACAAAGAGGGACGTGAAAAAAGAGAGTCAAGCGAGGCAACGGAAACTACATTAATAAGAGTCCCACATCGATAAAACAAGAGGCTCGCGAACCATGCTCATGCAATAAAAAAGAAGCTGCCTGTGTTGTGTGTCTCACGGAGCCGTGCGGTGCGTACAGAGCGAACTATTCTTTCGCCTTTTACTAAAGAATACCGTGTACGCGCCGCTTTTTGCGGCATACGCCTATTTTTGGAGAGGCTCTCTTATATGAGGGTGCCTCCATCAAATTTAGTTTAAACACTTTTTTTTTTTTTTTTTTTAGCTTTAATTTTGAAGAAATATAGTTGGAAGTTCTTTAATTCATATTTTTTTTGTCGTCTTTGTTTTTTTTTTTTTTTCATAGCAGTGAATTTTTATTGTTTAAACTTGTAAGTATCTTTATTTAGTGAAAATGAACTATTATATTTTGGTATTTTTGAGTTGATTCAGCTGTATGCGATCATTGCGCTTTTACGTCATATCATAACCATTAACAATTTGTTAATCAATATAGCAATACCAAAATTGGTTATTTATTATTTTTTTGGTGATACCAAAATTGGTACTTGAAATAATATTTTCAATTTTCAAAAAATTTTCCATTCTTACAAAATAATGGTTGTAGCAAAGTCTAACGCTCATTTATGCTCCAATTTTTTTAATGAACCCTTGTATTAAACCTTTTATTTTTTTGGAGGGATTACCGGGTGATACAAAGTATTTTCAAGTATTTAAGTTGTCATCAAATTTTTTTAGTAATTTTACTTTTCAAATTAAGCACGTTTTAAAAAGAATATAGTTATTAGTTTAAGTTGTCATCAAATTTTTTTAGTAATTTTACTTTTCAAATTAAGCGCGTTTTAAAAAGAATATAGTTATTAGAAAATCAAGTGAAGGCATATGAGCTCCGTGGAAAAAGCTTTTATGAGCAAATAGAAAATACCAGCTAAATTTCCAAATTAAAATACTAATTAAAGCTATTAACCTTTCAACTTAGTATATTATAAAATAAAAAATAAAAAAAATCCTTTCAACTTGTATCTTTATATCATCCAAGTAGCATTTATCTCACTTAATTCTAATTTAATTAAAGTTGTGTCATATATCCAATGTGCTAACCTCATGAAACTTCTAATTATTTTCTTATTTTAAATAAAAGTTGAGTGATTCTTTTCTCGATTACAAAAGAAAAGAAAAGAAAAAAAAAAGGAAGAAACTGTAAAATAAACATATAACGAACGGTGGTTTCCCCCTCAAAACAATGGGAGTCTTAAATCTTAGGATAAATTTTATTTTTACCCCCCAATTTTGGTTTATTTGTCATTTTGCCCCTCGAATTTTGAAAATTAGTCTCCGCATCCCGTGAACTTTGAAACGTTATTAACTTTACCCATTCTGTTTATTTGTCCAACAGATTTGATGGCATGCCAATTTTTGGAGGCGTAGTTTAATGAATTATTTGCATAAATGTCCCCTGAAGTATGTATCATATTTCAAAATACACAATGATCTATCAAAACACATCAAAATGCCCTTAATCTTTAGAAAACATACTAAAATAAGAGTTTTACTGATGTGGCATGTCATTAAAAATTAATTAATAAATTCTAATTGAATCATTAAAAGTGATTAAATATTGAAAAACATAAAATTATAAAAACATAAAAATTCTTTACTTCAAAAAATTTAAAAATTAAATAATTTTTTAAACCTTCATTCTGTTTAGCTCTCGAAGTTGCATATTAAAACAAATGTTTTCACTTAAAAGAGAAAGAAAGGTTTTCAATGTTTGAAGAGGAATAAGGTTTTTTTATATATTTTTTACTTGTCTTTTGGATTTTGCAAATTTTTAGTGGCATGTTGTATCAACTAATTTTTTAAAAACAAAATTTTAAAACCCCAAAAGACAATTCAAAAATCAAAAAGTTCCTCTTTAAGTAAAAAATGTGTTTAGATATGCACTTTTAGAGTAGAAAGGAAATAAGATTTTTCAAAAAAAAAAAAAAGTTTCTTCTTTTCTTTTGGGTTTTAAATTTTGAAAATAGTTCATTTATTTAATATTTGAAGTTTGAAGTGAAGCATTTTCATATTTATTTTTGTTACTATTTTTCAATAATGATCACTTTTAGTGATTCAATTAAAATTTAGTGTTTAATTAATTTTTAATGACATACCACATAAGTAAAACTGTTATTTTATTATGTTTTTCATTGATTAGGGACATTTTTATGTGTTTTGATAGATCAAGGGCTATTTTGAAATATGATATATATTTTAGGGGGCACTTATGCAAATAATTCATTAAACTACCCTTACAATAATTGTCACGTCATCAAATATGCTAGTTAAATAAACAGAAGAGACAAAGTGAATAACTTTCAAAGTTCAAGAGATGCGCATACTAATTTTTAAAATTCAGGGGACAAAGTGACGAAGAGAACAAAATTCATGGTGCCAAAATAAAATTATCATAAATCTTGACTTGTGCTTTATTGATTGAATTAATTGTTAAATTTAATTCAAGATAAATTGGTTGAGTTATTGTTTTTAGTTTTATTTAATATGGGAAAGCTATTACATGATTATGTTAATCATGTAACTTCCACATTGGGTTATTTAAATTAAAACCGTGGCTTTGTGCAAGTTTTTCGTATTAAATAAACTGAGAAAATAGAAAATCAGAACAGTTTGAGTCAACCTGTGACGGAGGCCGGTCGACCGGAATGTAAATTTTTTTATGTGTTGTGTGTCTGCACTAGTCCATCAGTGAGTTTATAAAGGCTCTAGGACCAGTCGACCGGTTAACACTGATGATGTGGCAAACCAAGTCAATGCAATTAGTTGCGCGATTTTTACTTTGGAAAACCTCATTGTTGCGGGAATATGACTTTCTAAATACTATAAATAGTTCAGTAAGTCTCATTATTCATTAGATCACTTGAGAGACTTTTGAGGGACTATTGGTAATGATTCTTGAAAGGCAAAAATTGAACAGATTTCAAGATCTATATTTCGTTTGGCTCTCTTGTGGTTAGAAGGAGTTCAAGATACCAAGGGAAAAATAAACGACGTGTACCCACTAGCACTCCGATCGTGGAAATAAGAATAGCAAAAAAAGCCAGTTGGTTAAGACTCTTAGAACGCTTTGATCTGTCAAACGTATTATTTCTAAATTCTCCAAAAGTATAATTTAGATTTTTATTATTTATGTTATAGAATATCATGAACACGTCATAGGTGATTTTGGTAAGCAATAAAGATCTTTTAAAATTTTGCTGCGCAACTAGTTACCGTTTTTCCAACAAAAATAAACAACAAAAACCACAAGACATATGAACTTAAAAAGCACTCGTTTCATTATAATAATGCTAATATCATTAAGAACAAGAATGAGTGTATCACTTTGCAAACTAATACTCATTTTCACTAATGTACTGAAAATATTACTATTAAAAGTTAAATACTGAAAATCTGTTAATGCATAAAAAATGCTCATTTTCATTATTTTAATGACAATATCATTATCAGAACATAACGTAAACGCAAAAGACACTTGTTCCATTATAAAAATACTAATATCATTACGAATATATCACTTAGCACGAGAATGAATATATCATTATAATATTGCATGAAATTGAATATATCACTTTCAAAGCAAGGAAAAAAAGGAAAAAAATATGAACAATACCATATAATTTTTTCGACATGTAATATCAGAAAATGATTCAAAATGGATTAAAAACAATAATTTAAAAAGGATATTAAAGCCGTTTTAAACAAAATCTACCATTTTGCACCTATGGTATTGAAGATAAACAACCCAGCCGCGACAAAGCACCTCCTCTCAGAACAAACTAATACAGCCACTACAAATCCCAACCACAGCAAAGGCCACGGCAGTTTTTAAAACTTGATGGAATACGTTTTAAGCCACGGCTCTTTTTTTCTTTTTTCTTTTTTTTTTTTTTGAGAAAAAAAAGTGGAGGGGGGGGCTCTTATTTAGAAAACCAAATCAAGAATAAATAACAAAATATGGAAGGAAAAAGAAAAGGAAAGTCAAATCCTTAATAATGTGGTAACAAAAATCCTAATGTTATTTGGAAAATAAACCCACACAAAAAAAAAAAAAACACCATATAAGGGATATGCTCAAAATAAAACATAAAGAGAAAATTCGGTATAATATATTCCTTAATAAGCACAAGTGGATTTTTTTGTAGTATGGTGGTTACACCCTTTTATGCTCCCAACACCCCCTCAAATTCAAAATTTCTTATTACAAAAAGACCCTTAAATAAAATGACAAAAAAAAATAATAGACTTAATTATGTGACTAAATTTTATTGCAAAAGGGAAATTAATATAGAAACTTTTTTTTTTCTACACTCACTCCACATATCATATTCACAAATTATAAAAAATTTATACTTCAAAACTCCATAGCAAAGTCCTAATTTTCACCTTTCAATAATTATTCTAAAAAAATTACATGGAGGTATATTCAATTTTCTTTACTATTTGTTGTTTGAAGATTTTTTTAATATATATTTATATAATTTTTATTTTTCGTTTTGTGCTCATTTATTTTCTAATCAATTTTTTAAACAAATCATTTCACATTTTTTCTGTTTTTTTACAATGCCAGATGATTAGGTTTTTCCCCTTGTTATTATTATTATTTTTTTTAACTCAGTTTGTGCTCATGATGTAGTAAACTTATGTCCTTTATTGTTCTAAAAAGATTAAATAGTAAATTTTTCTAAACTCTATTGACAGTTAATGAAATTCCCTAATGAATGAAAAAAACGCTCCATGCCTAAAGTTTCAATATATATATATATATATATATATAAAAGATAATATTAAAGTAATAAAATAATTTATGTGGGGTGTGGAGAGTAAAGAGGTGGATGTTCAGAGATAGAATGGTGTAAATAACACCATTATTAATAATTTTATGAAATAGTTAGAGTAGTTTCGGAATAATACGAGTGTGTAGAAAGAAAATTTAATCATTTAAAAATTATGTGGGGTGTGTAGTTAGAATGGGGTGTGGAGAATAAAAAATGGGATGTTCCAATAATCCTAAGAAAAACTCATTTATTTTGCTTTGCATAATGCCAAGAAAACCCCTTTGTAATTACTTTTACCCCTTATTTTTTATTAATATCATTTTTTAGTCAAATGACTACATAATCAAAAGGGGATTAATCAAGATGAGTAAAATGTAAAAATTTAGACCCATACACTCAAAAGGTAAGTTGAACAATTTCTCAAAACAAAATTCTCATATAAATATACAGGTCAACCTGTATTCTTTTTGGCCCACATGGTTCACGTCGGGTCGAGTCGGGCGATTCGTATTTACAGCACATACTACAATAAATTTTTGGACCACAGACACAAATACAATGGCACGTTGTCTAATATACATGAAAAAAGATATCATTCATGTTTCGGAAATTTTAACATGCAATTTTTGCAAAACCATCATTTTATCTTGCTTTTTGTTCGAGGGTATCTAGCTAACCGTCATAAATATCAAATTAAACCAAGTATAACAATTTAAATCAGCCAAAAAAAAAAAAAAAGTATAACAATTTAATAAAACTTAACAAATGTAAGATGCTTTGGGACTATATCCTATTTGTAAGGTATGTCATGTAATCACACCTTACCATAGAATTCTCCTTTTAATAAATGCTATACTTGTCATACAAGGCAAGCAACCAAAACTAACTAACAATATATTGTTCGTGACAATAATCCTAGCAAGCATGAAATATGGGTTGTGATTAATCTATGCTTCTCAGACAAGGCAGTTAACCGAAAGTTTTCCGTACCAATTTGAGCTTGTGTTTCAGTATTGAACACCTTCACATAACATGAAAGGAAAAAAAGAAAGTTTGGAAAAACAGAAAAGAAACCAAATTTCACCAATTAATTATATGTTGTATTCTACATATATTATAATATTTCCACGCTATTAGAAAATTATGTGGTCATGAGGTTTTAATGGATCAAATTGAACAGATTTTGCGAAGTCTGATGTGACTCCTATTTTATTCCATTTAAATGTCTGTGACATTGAAAGATGCTCATTTAGAAGCAAGCTTCCCACGCTTGAAAGCCAATTAAAAAAAAAAAAAAAAAAAAAAATAACAACCACCAGAGGTTACTTGAACGAAATTCCAAGTGATCAACAACCTAAGAGAAACTTCTTATATATAAAGCCATGTTTTGTCAAGACACACCAAATGAGAAAAACTAACTAGTCCAATCCCAAGAAAAACTCATTTAATTTACTTTGCATTGTGATTAATTGCCTCAAAATGGAGAATGGAAAGAAGAGGCTGACCCTATTGGTTGGATGCAATTACCCCAATACCCAATACGAGCTCCATGGCTGCGTAAACGACGTCGTTTCCATGCGAGACACGCTGGTGAGCAGGTTCGGGTTTGATCCCAACCATATTGAGCTACTGACTGATCAGCCAGGTTCATCAGTCACGCCCACTGGTGAAAACATTAAAAGGGCTCTTGGTGAAATGGTTGACAAGGCTGAAGCTGGGGATGTCCTGTTTTTTCATTATAGTGGACATGGGACAAGAATTCCTTCGATGAAACTAGGCAATCGATTTAGGCAAGACGAGGCTATTGTTCCTTGTGATTTCAATCTCATCACTGGTATGCAAATTTCCGAAATACTATTTTCCTTTAGGCCAAATTATTTGATCAGACATCCATCATGCACTACTTCCATGGTCGTTTATGTACACCATTTGTAGCAAAACTCTAGGCTTGTGATAACCAATTGTAGATTTAGCTCATAATTTGCTATTCGTACTTCCATTTCCATATACTTTTATTAATTGTCTCGTTGAGAAATGGCATGTGATAGTCATGTGACATTTTAGTGTGACCATCACATGCCATTAAAAATCGAGTTTTTATCAATTGACTGAAGAATTTGAAAAGAACAAGTTTACAAATTGGGGACTAGTTATAGGACATTTTAAATGTTGGAGACCAAAACGGTCCTCCCAACCCCTATTTTTTTGACATATAGCAAAAGAGTTCTAATTTCTCCATTCCCCTGCATAATAATCAGTATAATTCAAAACTTTTTGTACACAGATGTGGATTTCCGACACTTGGTTAATCGGTTGCCAAAGGGAGCAAGCTTCACAATCCTTTCAGACTCATGTCACAGTGGGGGTCTAATTGACAAAGAGAAAGAACAGATTGGACCTGGTTCTACCCGTGACACCAAAGGCGAGAAATCGCTTTCCTTTAGGCCTAAGACAATCCCCTTCCAGTCCATTCTCCAGCATTTTTCTTCACTCACAAACATAAACACATCCGACATCGCCACTCACTTGTTGGCTCTCTTTGGATCCAATTCCAGCCTCAAGTTCCGACTACCCCTAATCGAGGACATCGATTTCTTGAAGCCGGACGAGGGAATCCTGCTCAGCGGGTGCCAGGCGAACGAGACTTGTGCGGACATGAATCCAATCGTGGCGGGAGGAAAGGCCTGCGGGGCTTTTAGCAACGCCGTTCAGACGGTTTTGGAGAAGAATCCAGGGAAGTTGAGCAATAGAGAGGTTGTGATGATGACTAGGAAGGTGTTGAATGATCAGGGCTTCGTTAATCAGCACCCTTGCTTGTATTGCAGTGATGAGAATGCTGATTCTGTGTTCTTGTGGCAACTATAGAGTGATTAACATCCACATACAAAAATACTAAACAACCTGATTGGTCTCAACACATGACTAAAAGTGTTGTTTTCCTATTTGTCCAAGACTAATAAAATGTGGGCTTACTTTTTACATATAATAATAATTACAATAAATCGGTGTTAAAAGACCAATAAGACATAGACAATTGGGTGGTGCTTTTAGCCCCCAATTAAACTATATAACAATGCTCTAATATATATATATATATACACACACACACATATGTATGTGATCTTGTAACTATTACTTGTTGCTTCTTGTGTTATTGTGACTAAATAATAGAGTCGTTTAAGCTGAAAATTATGGGCCTTTGCTTCTACAAGTTACTGAGTACCATTGGTGAAAGGAAAAGCATTTGTCGTTAAAGGATTTACTAAATAATCATTTGTAACTTTTCTTTCTTGTCTAATTTCGGCCAGCCAAATTAGAATGCCTTTGTTCTTTACAAATTAATTCAGTCGATTGAAACAACATCCTTTTTATTGGCCGGTTATTAATTTATGAAGTATTGCTGAAGGGAAGTAGCTATGAGCCTATATTTAGAGAACTCAGAAAATCCCTAGAAGTATATTATGAGTCAACGACATCCACCTCGAACAAAAGGTACATTATGACATTCAAAAATATATAGGATCAGATTCATCAATACATATACATATGTGTGTGTATGTATATATATATATATATAAGATAAGTCTACTGTCCTTTTACACAAAATCGAAGGATGGTTCTTCCTTTTGTATTTGGATCGTCCAGATTTAAACGAAGAACGAAGATCAGTCTTAAGGAAAACCAGCTAATCTCCCATTTAAAGGAGAAGGAGGGAAATAAAATAACATAATTTAGGTTTCAATAAAATTATATAGTATAAAGTTTGGAGATTAGTAGTAAATAACATAATTTTGCTAAGTGTGTATTCCAAAAATATATTATTCCTAGACTACCAAAACTAATTTTTCCAAGAATATAAGTGTTTGAAATTTTGTATTGAAAAATTCAGTGCGGTCAATATAACATTTTGAGGTTCTAATAATTTTTTATAAACAAAAAATAACAATTTGACCCCTAATTCTTAAAAAAATTCAACTTGACCCCTCAAATTTTAAAAAGTTACAATTAACCCTTCAATTATAAACTTACATGCCCAAATTTTAAAAGAACTTTGTCAAAATACCCATATTGGCAAGTAAATAAAGAAATTACCAAGTAAATTCGTTATTTACTATATCAACTATGACCATTAGATGGTAAATAAAGGATTTACTCACACTTAAATGGTAAATCTTTTATTTCCTAAAATCATATTTTATTAATTGAGGTTGTAAATAATACATTTACCGAGTGAATGGAGAATTTACCAAATAAAATAAATTAATGGCTTGTATATAAAGGATCGTAAGAATAACTCGTAAATGATGGATTACTCACACTTAAATGGTAGATCTCTTATTTATCAAAATCACATTTATTTTTTTAGGTTGTAAATAAAACATTACCCGAGTAAATTCATATGTTTACCGTGCTTTAGTTTGGTAAATAATGGATTTACTTAGTAAATTCATTATTTACCACTGCTTTTAGTTGGTAAATAAAGGATTTATCCTTCGCTGTATCAAATAAAATAAATTATTGGCTTGTATATAAAGGATCACAAGAATAACTTGTAAATGATGGATTTAACTAGTTAATTTTTTATTTACATGAGCACAATGCAAAGTTTTTTAAAAGTTTGGTCAAAACGTATTATTTCAAAAATAAAGAGGTCAAATAAATATTTTCTAAATTAAGGGTTCAAAATATAATATTTAAATAATTAGTTAAAACTTAATGTTGAAAAAGTTAAAGCGTCAAGATATAAATTTTTACTTTATTTAGTTATGAGAAGTTTAAAATGAGACACGTGTAAGGACATTTTAACCCTTACATCATAAAATACTTACATACAAATTACGAAATTTAAAAAAAGGAAATATGAGTTAAGAATCAGGGTACAAAAAATCACCTTATTTAATTATTTTATTTAAAAATAGAAGTCAAGTGCTACTATATTGGAAACATTTGGATTACACACATTATTGAAAACCCAATGACCTACAAATGAAACACAAAAGGAGAAAATTGTTGAATGTTAAAAGTGTATGGGTATGTATTTATATCTTTTATTTTTAATTAATAACTTTTTGACTTATATAGGTTAATCACTTTTTGACTTATATAGTTATTTGATTAAAAAGAATATTTATCATGTATAAAGATAAAATTCTAGATTTAGCACTTTAAGAGATATTTATCTCTTTTTCCTAAACAAAAAGAACCTCTTTCATTGGCGAACCTAAACCTAGCAAACCCTTTTCATTATGGCAAGGATGCTGTCAAAATGAACGTAAATGAAGTGAAAACTATGTTAAGGCCATATCCATTTTAAAAATGATCAACGTAATGTATAAAATAATTTTATGTTTTCAATATTAAAAAAATGTTATCATTATGAACATAAATGAATATTTTCACTATGATAAAGCTATGTTCATTATGAAAATGTATCTAGTGTATAAATGAATTTTATGTTATATATCATTATGAAAATATTATTTATCTAAATTACAAGGTGACACTATTCACGGGACCACACACTTGAGAAGACACTCTAAAAAGTGTCTTCAAAAGCTTAGCCAATCTGGTGGATCTGAATTCCACCAAATACAATTATCTTTTGATCGCGCAACCGGTGGTCTAACCACTTAGAAATACGGTCCACAAGTAGATCATATGGAAGTTGCACGAATGATAGCTGCTTTAGATCAACCACTTAGTTTTGTAGAGCATCCTAATTGGCAACAATATATTAAGGCTATACATAATCCTAATGCACAATTCACTTCAAAAACTACTCTTAGGAAAGATTTATTAAAATAATTTAAAAAAGAAAAAGAAGCGTTAATAAACCTTTTATACTGGACTAGCGGGTGTGTTGCGTTAACGGCATATATTTAGTCTGCCGTTGCCAATAAAGATTATTTAGCTGTAACCGGACATTACTTTAAAGGATTTGATTTAGATAAGAGAATATTAGGTTTTAAATGTGTTTTATGATCACATAGCGCGGATTTAATATATAATACCATTTTAAATGTAATTGATGAATTTAGATTAAGAGATAAAGTAATGGCTATAACATTAGCTAATGCTAGTGCCAATACAAAAGCAATTGAGTTCTTTGAAAATGATTTAAGTTTATTCGGTGACGGTACTATTTTTCACCAACGTTGTGCATGTCACGTAATTAATTTAATTGTTAAATCCGGTTTAAAAGAAATGCGTAACCACATTAAAAGAATTAGAGATAGTCTTGCATGGATTCAAGGTAGTAACCAAAGACAAGAAGATTGGTTTAGGTTCTTACAAGCATTAAATATACCTCTTAGAGCATTAGCGTTAGATATGCTTATAAGATGGAACTCAACTTACATAATGCTTCAACAATGCATCCCCTATAAGGATGCTATAACAAATTATATGTGTGCAAAAGTAGGAGTAGGACATATAGACGCATATGATTGACAAATTGCCGAAGTTTTGTATCAATTTTTAGGTAGGTTTCATGAAGTGACTCTAAACTTAGTAGAACATATTACTCAACATCACCTTTAGCTTTAGGAGAACTTTTACGAATTAGTATTTTATTTAGCGAATATAGGGAGGACCCAATCTTAGCAGTTCCTATCCATTCTATGGAAAAAAAATTTATAAAATATTGGTCTAAGTTGCCTTTGTTGTATGGTTTAGCTACTATTTTTGATCCTATATTGGTCTTAGGTGAATTTTTAGGCATCAAATGTTCGGACCAATATCCAATAATAAAGTAAAAAATATATTCGATCTATAGTAAATATGAGATTAGGTTTAGAGTACCTCCTAGAGTACAGGAACAGCAACAACAAGACGAAAACCCGCATTCATTCTTGAATGTTTTCAGGTTGAAGAAGAAGAAGAAGACAACTCAAACAAAAGCTGAGAGTGAATCTCGTCAACAAGCGGCGGCGGCAGCTTCAACGAGCTTATGGCGTACCTTAGTGAAGGCTTAGTTGTCGATGGTACGGCAGAATCGTTTGACTTAGTTCAAAGGTGGATGGCACATGCATTAACTTAGCCAATCCTAACTCGATTGGCAATGGATATATTTTCGATCCCAGTCTCCATTATTTCATCCGAACAAGCCTTTAGTACGACATGAAGAATACTTGAGGCACGTCGGAATGCATTGCAAAGGGATATTGTTGAAGCCTTGGTTTGCATTAAGGATTGGGATCGGGCCGATCAACGTCTATAGGATACAATTTCACTGGCAAGCCAAGAATGGATCGATAAATTTAATCGATTAACATTTAATTTTGAAGACGATCCTTTAGCTTCAAATTAAATTGTAAATTTGTAATTTGTAAATATGTATTTACTTTTGACATTGTATTTGTAATTGTATAACTTTGTAAGTTTTTAAAATTTTTAATTTGTCACAAAATGATTGCACTCTTTTTTCCTTGCCAAGTTTTTATCCCAATTGGGTTTTTCTTGGTAAGGTTTTTAACGAGGTAATCAGGACTTACGAATTTAATATACATCATTAATTTATTCAATTGTGTTAATAATGTCTATTGAATGTTGATTTTGATTTTTATATAATTTTAACACAAACTAACTTAATAATTATAAAAATTAAAAAATATTAAAAAAAATTTCAGGCTATTCGGGCGGCCCGGCCGGGTTCGGGCAGCCAAAGATAAGCTCGCGGCCCGTTCAAGGGCATTTTTAGGCTCGGGCGGGCGGCCCAAATTTTTCGGGCGGGTCGGGCTCGGGCAAAAACTCGGTATTTTCGGGCGGCCCGTTCAAAGTTCCAGCACTAATTGGTACCACAACTACTAAATTTTAAAAATTTAGATACTTTTGTAATATTATGTATAACTATACATTTTTAGATTTGAAACTCTTAAATGTGTAATTTTCTCTTCTAAAACCCCCTAGCTAGTTAAAATTAACTTTTTAGGTCTTAAAATAAACTTTTTATTTTTTTAGTTAAAAAAATTGTTGAGCTTACTCTTAGGTCACATTTGGTTGGGAGTAAAGAAATGGAATGTAATCTAAGTTTAATGTTTGGCTGGATTTAGGAAAAAAAATAGCCATTCAAAATGGAATGACTTTCTATCAAATG